AATGGTTGAAATTGAACAACAATACAGCCTACAGGACGCGTTGATCATAATTGTTCTTAGTATTATTAGTCGTATTATTATTATTGTTATTATTATTATTATTATTATTATTATTATTAATAGTATTATCTTTATCCTTATTATTATTATTATCTTTATTATTACTATTATTTTTAGTATTATTATTATCATCATTAATCTTATTAGTATTATTATTATTATTATTATAATTATTAGTGTTATTACTACAACAAAAAATAAAAGCTGAGGGCACCTTGGGCCAGGAGCACCTCTGGCAACCCCCGAATGGAGCCGCCCGCGGAGAATCCGCCAGGCCCCTTGGCGAGCGCGCCAGGCTGCGAGGCTCCCTGCCGGACTGCTGCACCGCTGGTGAGGCTCGCCATCCTCCCGCTGCCTCCTTTTGACCATGCATCTGCACACGTACGGCAGGTTCGCGTCGTGTCGACCCCGGCGTTGGTTTCTGACACCGCGGGGATCGTTCAACCTTGAACGATCGGCCGTTTCCGAAACGTCGAAATCGTTCCACATCGAACGATTCTGGGTCGCCCGCGGCGTTCAAGGTTGAACGCCGCTGGCGGGGTCGCCGCCGGTCGACACGACACGAACCTACCGTACACGGTGAAGGCATTGGATCATCGGGCCTGGCGAAAGGGAGGGATAGCAAAGGGGGCGGGGAGAATCGGCTCACGCAGCTGATTTTCCCGGCGCCCCCCTCCCGGCGCAGGAGGCGCCCATGTATCGAGGAATGGGCCCGGCGGCGGGGCCGAAAGCAGCTGCATGCAGCAGATTTCTGAACCCCCCCTTTCCTTATCCCCCCCTTTCGTCCAGCCCGAGATAAGGAACCATTGGATAAGGAATCCAGGATCTGGAAGCTGGTGGAACACCGATCGTGGAGCGGCCATGGATACCGCCGCCGCCCTCATCAGATGAGGAACCCTCCAGGGTCTGCAGCCTCCTGGGCACATTCCTTAACCAACACCCCCACCGTATAGAATCCAATCCTTTGTCCTTTCCATTGTCTACTCGGGGGTGGCGGGGGTAGGCGGGCGTGGCGTCCAAAAAACGCCACCCAGGGCGTGTGTGCTGTGTGCGTTGGCCGCCTGGCCCACTGCGGACCGCCTCAAGACCCGGAAGGCCCGAGATGCTTCCAGGATGGTCCCGAGAGGTCCTGAAGAGGGAGCCCGACGGCCAAGAGAGGCCGAAGACGGCCCCGAGACGCCCTCCGAGAAAATAACATGCATCGACAAACTAGAATGCATTCACTGTTGTTTGCATGTTTGCATATGCTTGTGGATGTCATGGCAGTGGGCACCCAAACCGTTATATTAGTGTATTTAAGATGTCTTTAAGATGTCTTTCACATGTTCGACGCATGGTTCAAACTTGTTTCAGCACTCTAGAAACATGTTTTAAACGTGTTTTTGGCATCTGGAGATTATTTGGCAATACGCCTCCTCTCCATTGATCGTCCTCCACAAAACTACCATGCATCCACTGTTGTTCGCATGCCTGCATAACCACGCCCATGCCCTGTCCCCAGCATGCCCCATCGCTCCAAGACGGCCCCCGGAAACACCCCGAGACTGGCCAAAAGACGGCCCCGAGGATGGCCCCAGAAGCCCGGCAGGGCGCCAGGATGCGCCCAGGAGGAGGAGGAGGAGGAGGAGGAGGAGGAGGAGGAGGAGGAGGAGGAGAAGGAGGAGGGGGGGGGAGGGAGGAGGGGGGGGAGGAGGGGGGGGGGGGAGGAGGGGGGGGGAGGGAGGAGGAGGAGGAGGAGGAGGAGGAGGAAGAGGAGCCCCCCACAGGGCCCCAGAAGGGCCCCCGGAGGCGTCAGCAGTAGCCCCAGGCGTTGCCCAAGCAGGCCCGACTGTGGCCCCAGAGGCCTCAGGATGCTCCCAAGAGGCCTCCAGTGCTTTTATGGTGGAGGAGCCCCGGGACACACAAATAAATACACACAGATAAAATATTTCCCCATATGTTCCCATGTTTTCTGGGCTTCTGTCTCCCCCCCACTTCCCACAGTTTCCCATCTTTTCCTGGGACTCGACGATGACTTGTGTCTGTGTGTGTGTTCCTTTCTTCCTGAGATTATGGCCCCGTGAGAAACCCCCGAACTGCCCCAAGCAAGGCTGCTCCGCCGGAGCGACCAGGAGCGCAGCCCCATCGGATATCTCCAGAGCAGCATGCTCCTCGCAGAGCTCCGGCGGGCGAGGGCGGAGGCAGAGCCTGTCCTGCCAGAGGGTCCGCGGGCCCAGGCCTCGATAGCACCCCGCGTCGTCGCAGTGGTAGGCCACCTCCAGCCACATGAGCGCCGCCAGGCCGCTGAAGACGTTGACCGTGGGCAGCAGCCCGGCGGCGTACCAGACGAGCCTGGACCTGCCCCGCAGCAGGCCCTGCGCGCCAAGCCCGAGGAACATCAGCAAGAGGTTGACCAGGCCGGCCGCCGTGCCCGCGGTCTGCTTCTTCTCGAAGAAGACGCTGGCGATCGCCGCGAGGCTGAAGCTCTGCATGTACGCGGCCAGCAACATCAGCACGACAAAGAACTGGCTGCTGATCAGGTGTCCGAGAACCGAAAGGTTAACGCAGATTACAGCTATGCAAACAAGAGAGACGCAAAAAAAGTACAGGGCCCAGGAAGCCCAGTACAGCAACTGGGAGAGGCCGTACAGCTCCTGGACCACCTTCATCTTGGACTCCTTCTCCGACACGATCTCAATGACTGCGCAGTTGAACGCTCCGCTGATTGCGATAACAAGGTGCATGGGCACCACCAGCGCAAGGACCAACGCACCCGTAAAGGGCATGTCTTGCCTGTCGCCGTCAGCTCTGTCGGAGAACAGCTGGATCATAAAAGCCGCGATGCCAGAATACACGAGGGCTGGCCAGGCTGCTGTGAGAATCCGACGCCTCTTGTAGGCGACGAAAAAATGCTTCCACATCATGACTCTGAATCGGGGGACGCCAACTGACCACCCCACCGATCCCGGGCCGGGCCGGGCCAGACCAATCTAGGAGGCCTCTACGTGCACGCCCACGACGCTCCTGGCCAGGCCGATCCTGGGCCCAGCAGGAGGAGCCCAGCAGGAGGAGGAGGAGGAGGAGGAGGAGGGGGGAGGAGGGGGAAGGGGGAGGGCGGAGGGGGAGGGAGAGGCGTGGGCGAGAAGGGGGGAGGAGGAAGGGGCAGGGGGAGGGGAGGAGGAGGAGGGAGAGGAGGAGGAGGAGGAAGAGGGAAGGAGGCGGAGGAGGAGGAGGAGGATAGGAGGAGGAGGAGGAGGAGGAGGAGGAGGAGGCGGAGGAGGAGGAGGCGAGGAGGAGGGGAGGGAGGAGGAGGGAGGAGGAAGGAGGAGGAGGAAGGGGAGGGGGAGGAGGGGGAGGAGGAGGAGGAGGAGGAGGGGGAGGGGAGGGGGAGGGGAGAGGAGGAGGAGGAGGAGGAGGAGAGGAGGAGGAGGAGGAGGAGAGGAGGGGGAGGGGGAGGAGGAGGCGGGGGAGGAGGGGGGAGGAGGAGGAGGGGGGGGAGGAGGAGGAGGGAGGGAGGTGGAAAGGAGGCAAGGCTGAGGAGGAGGAGGAGAAGGCAGGAGGAGGAGGGGGAGGAGGAGGAGGAGGGGGGAGGGGGAGGAGGAGGATGGGAGGCGGAGGAGGAGGAGGAGGAGGAGGAGGAGGCGGAGGAGGAGGAGGAGGAGGAGGAGGAAGGGGGAGAGAGGAGGAAGGAGGGGGGAGAGGGGGAGGAAGGAGGGGGAGGGGGAGGAGAGGGGAGGAGGAGGAGGTGGATAGAGGAGGGGGAGGAAGGGGAAGGAGGAGGAATGACTTGGGCCAGCAGGGAGGAGTGCGGAAGGAGTGCCCCACTGGAGGCCCGGGGATCGGCGAAGGCGCCTTCCTGGCAGGGCTGGGGGCGGGCGCGTGCGCCGTCCTATTCGCGAGGCAAGTAGGATCGCAGAGAAGACGGCGAGGAAGACACTGTTTCGTCGCGGCGAGGCAGAGTTTGAAGGGGCCCAGGACACAAAATAAATACACACAAATAAAGATATCCCCCATAGTTGCCCAATATTGTCTGGGGTTTCTGTCTTCCCACCCCACTTCCCATATTTTCCCATATTTTAGGGGGATTCGAGGATGAATTGTGTCTGTGTGTTTCTTTCCCTCCTGAGAGCTGGCTGCACCAGCGGTAGAGGGGGTGAAGAAAAGGCCATTCAGAGTAGGGCGACGAAATATATATATATATATATATATATATATATATATATATGTATATATCCACTGCTCCCTGGCCAGGCCCATCCTCAACCCCGCAGCGGTGTATACGCCACGCCCTCCTGGCTTGGCCAGGAGGGCGCATACACAGCTCCTGGGTTCAAGATGGGCATGGTCAGGGAGCAGTGGATATGTATAGATTTCGTCGCCCGACAGAGGCGGAAGAGTTCTCACCTGAGTGTGCTGGCGCGGCCGGCTCGGGGCAGAAACACGGACCACCACCGCCGAGAATCAAGCACAGCGGGGCCGACCCCTGGGCGGTGGCACGCCCGAGCGTCGCCCCAACACCAACTACCTTCCAAACCACCCCAACCCAACCCGAAGACCCAAATTTCGGTTTGAGCGGGGTACGGGTTCCACACGTGTTTTTGTCAATGTTCCCCGGAACCATCACCACTGGGAATGGGGGGCAAACTGGGGCCTTCGGCTCGGGTTGCGGTGGTTTGGTGGGTGGTGAAATACTAGATGACGCTCAGGCGTGCCATCGCCCAGGGGCCAGTCCCTCATCGACAGGTTCTCGGTGGCGGTGGCGCATGTTCCTCCTCTGAGGTGAGGCGGCCAGTCGAAGCCCCCCGGTCTGAACACCTCCCAGCTGGCAGGGCGGTCTGGAGGCTGCAGCACACCGCTTGCCCAGGCGCCCGCCGTGGGCTCGCGCTCCTGCTGTGGCACGAGGCCCCCGGCCTGCACCTCGAAGCTCGAAACGTACCGCGCCGCAGACGGGCCGTCGACGGGCAGCGCCATCGCAGGACACTGCGGGAAGCGGGCAACAGTGGGCCAGAACTAGAACAAGAAAAAACGCCATAAACTTAAACTTGTGGTGCGCCGCGCGGATTTCTTGGATCTGCGCTGGACCCCCCTCCTTGGCCCACGGAGCGCGCCAGGGGCGGCGCCAGAGGCGCCGCTGGGGGGCCCAGCGCGGGTCCAAGAAAGCCGCGCGGAGCGTCAACAAGTTCCTGTGTATGGGCGCTCCTTCCGGCTACACGCAACAATGATCCTGGGTAAGAGTGCCCTTGTGTGCGCGGCTTTTTGGGGGGCCGCGGGGGGACCCAGACACAAGGGCGCAAGACGCTACCATCGCACCGCGTTCGGCGATCGGGGGGCCCCGATGTCGGTGGTTCAAAGGTGGGGTCCTGAGGGATGGGCCTGAACCTGAGGATGGGAAGGGATCCAAGGGTGGCTTTACAGTGCTTGATGCACCTCGCCCTTAGGACCCCATCCCTCAGGACCCCATCCTTGAACCACCGACAATCGGCGTTGGACAAACCTCCCTTTAGTAAACCTCCCCTTAGTGAAAACGGCCTGGGACCGAAACCGACGGACCTGGACCCGCAAAAATGACGGCCGCGACGCCCTCTCGCGAACCGAAAACGGCCAAATCACTAATCGACGTGTCAGGGTAGGAGGTCTGTCCACCCCCGAGACAATGGACCCGCACCAAGGGTCACTCCCGCGAAGGGTCACTCGTAAGGTGCAGTCGGCGCTCTCCCGCCGAGGCCGCTGGCGGCAGACCGGGCGCGGGCCATGGATCCTGGGCCAGGCTGCTCGAGCTGGAGAGGGTTGCGCACGAACGTCGCAGCACCTGCCCCCATACACAGTCGGGGCGCTGACCTGAGGAACCCAAGATAAGGAGCGAGGCCCCTCCTTCCCATAAGCGAAGCTGCGAGTTCCCATCGAAATCACAAGGGAAACGTGAGGCAAACTGTGAAACACTGAAGGAACACGGAGCCCCTCCCCAACGAAAAGGGTTCCCTCTTCGGGGCCCCGGCTGTACGCGAGCAGCACTTCTGCACGCCCGGAACAGCCCAAGAGATCGAGGACGGCCCCCTCTTCGAAAAGGGGGGCCGTCGTCCGAGACTTCCATACCAGGACCCTGAACATCTGCAGCAGCTGCATCGGTGGAGGGCGGTGCCCTTTCTAAGGCAGACGCTCGCTCGAGATCTCCTGGGGATCCACGAAAAAAAAGGCGCAGACTTGTGCAACCGCTGCGCAGAAGGGGCGGCCATTACTCAGAACGGGGGGGGGTCTCGCTGGACACCTCGTGAACCTGCAGGATCACACCTTGCTGGCATGTCTCGTTGTTCGCTGGAGGGATGCAGTGAGGCTCCAGTTCCTTTTCAGAAGAGGCTCTCCCTTGAAGGCCAGGCCCAAAGTGCGCTGACACCTCAAAAAGGGTGTTTCCGTAAGTGAGAAGTAAGGCGTGTGGGCGCTTGTGATGAGAAGGGGACTTGGGACGGGAGGGTGTACTGCAGCACTGTCCATACATCTTGGACTTACTCTGGTCCTCGTCTTTCCACCTCCAACTCCTCCTCCTCCTCCTCCTCCTCCTCCTCCTCCTCCTCCTCCTCCTCCTTCTCATCCCCCCTCGTCCTCCTCCCTCTGCTTCCTCCTCGTCCTTCCCTCATCCATTCTCCTCCCTCCTCCTTCTCCTAACTCCTCCTCCTCCTCCTCATTCCTTCTCGTCCTCGTCCCTCCTCCCCATCGACCGGCACAATTTCCATTGTCGTCTCGAGCGCCTGGAACTGCCTGGTCCCAGAGCCACCCGCTGACGATCGGCCTGCGAGTGCTTTCGAACCCTATGCCGCTGGGCCACCAGTCTCCAGGCGGTTCTAACACTCATGGCGCCCGACACTGAGGGCGGAATAGACGAAGGGGGTTGTGACCCGTGGCCAGGGGGAGCACCTCTCCCTGGGAGAAGCTTTCGGCTCCAGAGCGTCAGCGTCGTCGTCGTCATCGCCGCCGTCGTCGTCGTCATCGCCGCCGTCGGCGGCGTCGTCGTCGTCGTCGGCGTCGTCGGCGTCGGCGTTGCTGGCGTTGTCGTCGTCGTCGTCGTCGTCGTCGTCGTCGGTCGTCGGTCGTCGGTCGTCGGTCGTCGGTCGTCGGTCGTCGGTCGTCGGTCGTCGGTCGTCGGTCGTCGTCGTCGTCGTCGTCGTCGTCGTCGTCGTCGTCGCGTCGTCGTCGTCGTCTTCGTCGTCCCCTTTCAGGGTCGGCGGAACCAGCCGTAGGGCCTTGAACAGAAAAATCTGCATGGACAGGAATATCAGGAGGTCCGAGCCGATTCTCCGATCGGCGCTGGACGCGCCTTCCTGGCGCGCAAGACCACGCGGCGGCACCAGAGGCGCTGCCAGAGGGGTCCAGCGCCCAGAAGCCTGCGCGGGCCTCCCAGGAACCGGTCCTGTTTATGCCGACGTGGCCGCGCCCATGCAGCGTTGCCGACCTGCGGCAGTCGCACACCCGCGTTGGCGTGCACGTTGCGTTACCCCTCTCGGGAGCCCTCGCGGGGAGCCCTCGGGAGCCCAACGGGGCTGGTGTGACCCCGTGTTGGCCCCATGACCCAACGGAGCTGTGTGGCCCCAGGTTAGCCACGACCGCCGCTCCAGTACGGCGGCCGATTTACTCTTGAAGGAAGCCATCGGGCCCGCCTGAAGCGCCGTCTGCCCCACGCATCTTGTCTCCTCCTCCCTCCACCAAACACGGTGCAACAGGCGCCGCGGCACGTGACGGAGAACTGCCAGGCAAGCCCGCAATGTCATACGAGACGCCTGGCGGCGTGCGGAGGGGTGCGTCGCTTCTAGAGAAGGCAGGGTGCTTCTTAGAGGCCTCCAGTTCCATCCGAGGAGCACTCTGCTTTCTCTTCCGGCGGGCGGAGAACGGCATACAATACACACGCAAGCTTGTCCGCCGCCGGGAACGCCTGTCCCAGGGCGAGTGAAAAGTCGGGTCGGGCGAAAGGGGGGGATAGCAAAAGGGGGGTTTGAGAATCAGCTCACGTAGCTGATTTTCCTGGCGCCTCCCGGCGCCGGAGGCGGCTATGTATCGAAGACTGGGCCCCTCGGTGGAACCGAAACCAGCTGCATGCAGCAAATTTCGTAACCCCCCCTTTCCCAATCCCCCCCTTTCGCCCGGCCCGAAAAAGTTTGTACTTGCACCCCCACAGCTGAGAAGCGTTTACCCCCACCTGTCAAGCGGAGGTGAAGACTTTCCAGCCGCGCTGGGACAGGCGTCCCCGACCCCGGAGAATCTGACCTCGTCTGCCGATCTCCGCCGCTGCCCCCTGCCTCACCCCGCCGGCATATCCAGGTGGGAGCTCGCGAATCAGCTCGCGTGACAGGCCCTGAACCCTAGACCCTAAATTCTTAATCCTAAGATTACTAAGCCTTGAACACCGAAAATCCGGGTACATACTGTAACATACGACCCGGGATGCAAAGCCTCGCCATCCCATGCAAAACATATAATTTCCTGATCACGCGTGCATCATATATTGTGATTTACACTACAAATACGCGTCCGCGGACGTAAACCCTCGCCATCCCTTGTAACAAAAACATTAGTTCCTGATCATACGTGCATAATCCACTGCGATTCGCAATGCAAATGCACGTCCGCGGACGTAAACCGTCGCCATCCCTTGCGAAACATATTATTTCATGATCATGCATTCATACACCTATGAGATGTTCCTTACCAAGTGCGCCGCTGTCACCGAATCCTGTGTTTTACAATACGAATTCCATGATGTGTCAGGCGCTCACAACGGTCCCAGGCGCTCCCAAGCGCCCCTGGCGTTCCCAAGCGCTCCCAGGCGCTCCCAAGCGCTCCCAGGCGCTTCCGGGCGTTCCAGGCGCTCCCAAGCGTTCCCAGCGCTCCCAGGCGCTCCCATGCGCTCCCATTCGTTGTACTTACAACGATGGGGAGAGATGATCTTTATGGTAGGGTGGTTCGCGGGTGGGACTGTCAGTCGCCGCAGGTGGGCTCCTAGGCAGGAGGGGATCAGCTGCGGCAGAGCTTGTAGACCCTAAGTTGATAATCCTTGAAAAACTAAGCCTTGAACACTGAAAAACCGGCCACGTACGGGCACAGACGCTTACATCCGCACCGGCATGTAAACCGGCGCCATCCCTTGCAACAAAAACACGATTCCCTGATCATGCGTGCATGACCCTTTGCGATTTACAATGCAAATGCGCGTCCGCGGACGAGACCTTCGCCATCCCTTGCAACAAATATTATGTCCTGATCACGCCTTCATGCACCTTTGAAACTTTGTTTGCCAAGTGCGCCGCTGTCGCAGAATCCTGTGTTTTACAATGTGACTTCCATGATGCTTCAGGCGCTCACAACGCTCCCAGGCGCTCCCAAGCGCCCCAGGCGCTCCCAAGCGCTCCCAGGCGCTCCCAAGCGCCCCAGGCGCTCCCAAGCGCTCCCAGGCGCTCCCAAGCGCTCCCAGGCGCTTCCAGGCGTTCCAGGCGCTCCCAAGCGCTCCCAGCGCCCCCAGGCGCTCCCATGCGCTCCCATGCGCTCTACTTACAATGAGGGGAGAGATGATCCTTATGGTGGGTTGGTCTGCGGGTGGGACTGGCAACCACCGCAGGTGGGCTCTTAGGCAGGAGGGGATCAGCTGCGTCAGAGCTTGTAGACCCTAAACCCTAAACCCCAAACTCTAAATCCCAGGAGGGTACGACGCTTCCCGGCACCGGAGGCGCCCACGGATCGCGGACACCGCCCGGCGGCGGGGCCGACAACCGGCTGGCTGCCGCAGGCGTCGTGTCGAGCCCTGCCCTGCCCCTCCCCCCGCTTGGCACGAGCAGACTACTGTGCGAGCAGCCGAGCCGCACGAAAAACGTCACCCACAACGACCGAGTTGCCTCCTCCTCCTCCTCCTCCTCCTCCTCCTCCTCCTCCTCCTCCTCCTCCTCCTCTTGATCCACTCGGACCTAAGACAGAGTCACGCTGCTCCCACCGTGCTGAAGGACCAAGTCCCCAACACAATTCTGAGCACCCCGAGAAGTATCGCAACAGCGTCGAGCGAGTATCGCCTCCCAGAGCACGCCCTCCAATCTCGGTACTCTCTCGGTGCTCGAAATTATTTCTGGTGATTGAAAGCAAAGTGGTTGGAACATCTTAAGGACGGAAGAACATCCTTCAAGAGCATGAGACCCTCCGCTGGCCAAAACACACAGAACATCAACGGGCACTCTCCCCAGGATGCACACTAACATCCAACACACACGAAGAACCCTGGGGCATCCTCCCCAAGCCGACCCCGATCTGCTACCTCGGTCTGGCTGCAAGGAACCCAGGGTCTGAAAGCCAGTGGAACTCCACTCGTGGCTTGGCCATGGATGTCACCGCCGCCCTCATCAGATATGGACCCCCCCAGGGTCTGAAGCCTCCTGGGCACGTTCTTTAGCGGACGCCGCCACCGTAGAGGGGGAGGCCTGGCACCGCCGAGGGGGGCCACCCCACGAGGGCCGCAAACGTCTTCCAGCAAGCGGACCCCCTGGAGTCTCAAAAGACGCCCAGAGACGCCCCAAACCCTCTCGATCCTCGATCCTCCAACTCGATCGCCGATTTCCAGGAAGATGTGGGCACCCCTGTCGGTGAGTGACCCCCCCCCCCCATAGCGGGATTGCTTGCGGGGGGGGGCCAGGCAGAGGGTGGCTGCAGTCGAAACGTGTAGTGAGGACGGGTGGCAAGGACGCAAGACCCTTGGAGGTCGAAGCTGGGATTTGTTGGGCGGCGGGCGGCCAGTGAAAACGGCACAGGACGGGCC